AGAAGAAAGAATGAAGAGGAAAGGAAAAAGAAGGGAAGGGGAGGGAGGGAGGGAGGGAGGAAGGAAGGAAGGAAATTATGAGAGGGAGGGAGGGTCTGAGGGAAGTCCTGCCTTAACACTTGCCCACCACAGGTGCCCCTGACACGAGTGATGTCGAGCTGACCGTGCCCACCTGCCCATCTCAGCCAGCCCACCCCCCAAGGTCAAACACAACCCTGATGCGGCCCTCAATGAAATCCAGTTTGACACCCCTGCCTTAACCATTACACTAAACTGGCTGTCAAATATAATATACTAGCCTATTTTGTTACCTTATTTATTAGGTATTAGGTCTCTATTATCCCACAATAGATTTGTACTTTAATTTTAAAAATGATTTTTTTTTCTTAAGAGGAATACAGCAAGACTCCAGTTTCATGATGTACTTCAAATTATAAATTGGTCAAGTAGTAAGCAACTGGCTTAGCTAAAATACAATCACATTATCATATTTTTGAATGCACTATTGTGATTATCGGGTGGAATTATTCCATGTCTGGTTCTTAAAAAGAAGGGCCATCTTTTGCAGAATCTTTTTTCCAAAATATCTATTTTGTAATGTCTAAGAACAGTGTTAGCATTAGATCATGTGACTGGCAGAATGCGCTTGTAAAGAAAAGTGCTGTGAAGTAGAAGTTGCCTTATGAAGTCTGCTACTACGTTGAACCTCAGCTGTTTTACCATTTAGTAACAGAGATAAAATACCTGGCACTTTACAGTTGTATTTTACATCCATACTTTACAGCTACCTGACAAAGAGAACAATTTGGGATTTTTTCCCCATACTGAACCTGGAGAGATTGAAACATTTAGGAAATCTATCTGGTAAATTAAAATATGAATTTTAAGGGATGTGCAAATATCCAGTTACATCCTATCAAAGGAGTATAAAGGATTAGGATAGTAGCAATATAAAATGTGCTTTTTTTCAATAAAAAAAATGAATTAATTTTCAGAACAGCAAGGTTCTAAATCCTTTTGAAACAAACAAAAGCATACCATAATTGTGAAAAAACCTCCTAACAAACAGCAGCTTGAACATTGTCCCAACCTAACCTGAGATAAACAGTTCAGGTATTAATGGTCTTAAATATTTTGAACTTTGTAAAAATTCAAATAAAAAAGAATTTAAATAATTTAATTTAAGCATATTTTATTCAAAATGCTTACTTTACAACATTATTTTATTAGGTGATTGAGGTTCTATGACCAGAGAGAGTACTGGCAGCTTTATTATGAAATGTAGCTAAAGGAAACATTTTTGTCTTTATAAAGCAATATCTCCAGAATGGTCCTTGGTATTCCCACACTAGGTACTTACATTGCTCTCGCATGCCTGCTTCATAGCACTTGCGTAACCGACACTCCTGACATTTCCGGCGCATGTACGTATCCATCTCACATCTGCCACTGTTCTTGCAGATATATTGGGCCCCTTTGATCACACTGCGTCGGAAAAAACCTTTGCAGCCCTCGCAACTCAGGACATTGTAATGGAAGCCGGAGGCTTTGTCCCCACATACGCTGCACACCTCATTTCCTAGCATCTTGGGGGCTGGCCCCTTCTTCCTTTTCAGGGGAGGGTTTTCTAAAGCAGAGAAAAGGGATGAAAGGAAAGACTGAAATAAGATCTGAAAATGAGAGAAAAGCTTCTCATGTTGGATGCATGCTAACAGTTTTTTTTCCCATACATAATAACATGCTGGCTTTGGAGAAAGCTGAAACATTACATGTACGTGGAATCAAAGTACATAAGGACCTGGTGAAGGAAGATCTCCTCTGGATATACTAACATGTTCTAATAATATTTACCCAATGGTGTTCAATGCATTTCTAGGGCCATAGGACTATAATGCAGATGATTCAATTAGTATTATGAAAAATAATTATATCATCTCAGAATGTATAGGAATAATTGAGGTAAGAATTCTGTACCCATTGTATTAAATATCTCTTCAAATACAAAGCTAGAATACTGGATTAAAACTGAGCAATATATGTAGTTAATCAAGCAATTCCCATTTCTATCTAGATATCTATTTTAAAAGAATCAGCAGCTATTAGACTCTGGGAGGACCTGGAAATAAAAATCTAGTGTGTTTCACATATAAAGGTAACAGACACAGAGAATGGGTTATTAAAGAAAATATTATTATTGGTTGTCTTGGTCTCTCTGTGTAATACGTAACGGTATGTGGGAATGGCTTTGGGAAATGGGGAAGAGATGCTGCCTAGGAGCAGTGAGATAAGAGAAGCTGCATCGGAGGTGGACAAAGAAGAGATATCCTTTTAGGTTTTAGGCTCTAAAGAAGACAGCAGGGGATCTATACTTTCAGACTTGCACGATTCTGTTAATGTAGCCTTACAATAAAATAGAATTAGCTCATATGATCATGTTTCCTTTTTAGAAAGTCTGACGTTCAGTGGGTTGGACAGCAGGCATCAGCGTTATTTTTGACTAGGAGAGCATTTACCAGTCTAATGCCATATTAGCCAGAGAATTCTGGGAACCAATTTCAGGAGTCTTCAGTTCCCATAGTTCCTTGGGTAATATAGCTATTGGTCTTTCTCCTTGGGGATTTTGAAAGCAAAGTTCAACATACTTTTCATTTATATTTTACAGTTTCTTGAATCAACTATGTAAACTTTTGAAATCATAAATAATCCAGACTATTCACTTTAAGCAGGTGACTACTGTTCATACCAGAAACAGAAATGTTTCTTTCCAACATTTTTCAAAACTCAGAAAAACTCAGCCAAACACCACCACCCCTTGGCAAACATTTTAGACCTTCTCATTTCTTTCCCTCTACATTTCTTCCCAGTATTTTCCTTTACCTTTTTTCAAAATTAGACCAAAAATTTATTCCGGATTCAATATCCATATCATATTCCATAGTTATTATTATACCCATTATCCTATAATGCATTGCTTGAATGGAGATTGTTTTGTTTTTAATGTGCAGAAACTGTTTTAGAATTTCATGAAATCCATAGTGCTACCTAGAATTCCACCACGTAAGCCTATCACACGATTTGATTTAACATAGAGATAATTTGGTACTACATTCAAAACCTATGAATTAAAACAAGAATGTACTCTTACCTCTAGGTTCAGAGGGAATCTCTGAATTCTGGAAAAGTGCAAATACTTTTTCCTCCATGTTAAAAACACTTGTCTTCTTCCCATGGTTCTGTGTGACAAGCTGAGTGGGACCCATGGTGGCTATTCTACACGCTCTTGTGATCTCTAAAGCATGTCTATGAACATACTCAGGATGTTTGCATGCAGTCTTACAATGACTTCATAAAATGGAGAAAAACAAAAGCTATAATAAAAGAAAAACAGAATTCCCAAAGTTATATGGAAGTCTTTTGTTTCCATACTACCACACACAACAGTATCCACCCAGGCTGCTGCCATCTGCAATTATTCAACCTCAAAGAATTAGTTTGTCTCCTTTAACTAGAAAATGCTTCTTTTCAATAAAACTTAATTTTTCTGTTAGAAATATAAATATTATTTTTATCAATAATATAATACTTATAATAGAAATAGTGTTTTAATTATGTTGGTTTTCAACCAACTTTTCATACAGCAGCTCAAGAGGTTGTACATAGTGCTCCATCCTAGCTTCTCCAGGACTGCCATAACCAGATTATCGTAAGTAGCATTTTCCAACTTGGTGCCCTCCAAATGTGCTGCTCTGTACTGATGGGTAACATTGGGAATTGTATTTCCAGCAGATCTGAAGGATATCAGTTTGGAAAAGTTGTATAAAAAGTGAAGAAGCCAATAAGGCTTTTTCACTTTTAATTCATGTATTCTATTTTTTTATTATTTGTTTATCTCCAAAAACATACTTCTTTAGGCAGATCGGAAACCTAAGTAAGAAAAGAGTAAACAGTAAAACTTTAAAACTATTTCATACCCATCATTAAAAACAATCAAAAACTAAGGTAGCTTCCTGCCAAAGAAATAAAGATTCTGAAATACTGTAGTGTGGGAGGGAGGGAGGGAGGGAGGGAAGGAAGGAAGGAAGGAAGGAAGGAAGGAAGGAAGGAAGGAAGGAAGGAAGGAAGGAAGGAAGGAAGGAGCAAAACAGCCGACTTGCCTGAAAGCTAATACGTCTTTTTTCATTAATTATAACTTTAGCAAAGTTCTAGGTTCAGCTATTCTCAGTAAAGCATATTGCCCTGATTACCATTTTTAGAACCTTAGAAGCAGTGAAGAGAGTTCACCTGGTTTGCAGCAGGTGAACTGATTGTAATGCTCTCCTTACATGCCAAACTAAAACTTCACTGTGGTAATTTTCATTCTAGCAAATCTCTTGAGTTAATGAAAGGTAACATTACCCCAGTAGAAAACCTACTTCAGAGAACATCTGCTGAATGGTTATATGAGATATATTTAACCAAACTTCCTTATTAAAAAAAAATCAAAGAGGATCTAGATACGTTAAAAGAGGAAAAGACTGAATTGCCCCACCTAGATATCTGGAAAAAAATTCAATTTGGTCTTTTGCTGCTGTCAGCTCAGTAAGTTAAGCAATGCTGCTGCAAAGTAGTACCGAAGGGTAGAAAGTGCCAGGAAACAGGGTGTATTGCCAGACAGCTGGAGCCAAAGAAAAGGATATGAATGCTTGACTAAGGGAATTTCAAAATCGAAATGTCATCACATGCAGAGGCCAAAGCAGGCGCCCAAAGTGAAACTTGTTACTTAGTACAGTTTTTGACTGGGAAAAAGTGATGTCGGCATTTAGAACTGAGGAAGTTGTAGTGCATCTCTGAAGAAAATAAACAACAGTCAGAAGTGAGCATCACTCTTCTCTGTTCCCTTGCAGTGAACTTGATAACTTGTTGATCACAGTTTCTTCTTTAAAATGCTTCTAAATTCCATTTTAAGTGCCTGCAGTAGCTAGGTAATCTCATGTGTGTGTTTACTTCCCAGTCATCTTGCCTGGCTCTCTTGGTTCATTGCTATTTCATGGACCTTAAATACCTGAATGGGAAAATCAATTCTACACTGTTAATTCTTCAATTAAATAAAAATAATATTGTTCCTACTGCAGTACCCAGACATTTCTTATATCTTTTGGTCATCATAAGAGCAACCATGTCCTATTTTATTTTTCTCTACTGAGATACAGATACACTTAAATATCAATGTCACTGTCAATTAGATAATGAATAAGAGGCCAATGATTAACAAGAATTGATGCATGTTGCATACTGTGGGTCCATTCTAATGGATCTATTTCCCACTTTTCTCAAACTGCAGAGAAAATGATGTATATATGGGGGGAAAGACAAATCTGGGAAGAGTAAAGGAGAGCTGAATAATTTGGAGATAAGTAACCATCAAATTCAACATTTTCATGATGTTCCTGGAACTAAAAATAACCTCTTCCATTGCATCTTCCAATTATAAAGTGCACCACTGAGTTATAGCAATACAGTTGTCAAAAAAGTACATTTACAGCTTCTCAAAGCAAAAAACACCTACTCGATTCATGAAGCAGACTCCCAAATTCCTGCTGAAACCAGAAACACCATCTCTAAGGCCGTGATGGAGAACCTATGGCACGCATGCCAGAGGTGGCACTGTGGGTGCGTACACCATTGCTAGTTACTCTTTTGGTTTCTGGCGTGCTCTGGCTAGCTGGTCTTCAAGGGTACCGGAGCACTAGAAAACAGCCTGAGAACAGCCCAAAAACAGCCTGAAAATGGCCTGAAAAACAACCTGAAAATGGTTTGAAAAACTTCCCCAAACAGCCAAAAAACAAAGCATGTGAACGCCGGCCAGCTGGTCTCCAGATTTCAGGTGCTCCAGCGCATGCATGCACGCACACACACAGATTTAGGTTTGGGCACTCGGTGCCAAAAAGGTTTGCCATCACTGCTCTAAGGTGATTTTCTCCTCACCAACTTTGTAATGTTTTTGCTCATCACACTTTTTATCTCTCTCCCCACACACTAAATATAGGCCCTGGTCACAAAAATATGGTCAGCTCCTGATTTTTCTTGAAAGACTATAGAGGCTTAAGAGAAACACACAAGTAAACCAATAACATATATATGATTGGATGTGAGCTATATGTCTTTTGCTGATTTGTTTACTCGGATGCTAAATTCTATTTGTGCTGCAACAAAAGATAGCATTGAAGACATTTTTAAAATATCACATACTAGTTTTATGGATCCATAAGCAGTTTCAGGCGCATAATGATTCTCTAGTAAAAGGTCCCAATTAGGAACATTCAAGACTACAGTAAACTTTGAAATCAAAGACTGTATGGTGTTAATAACATCTTTATAACATGAAATATTTTCAAAGGAAGGATGTATGTTAGAGAATTAGAAAACTAAAAGAAATTTGCAGTGATGCTTCAATGGGAAACATGACAATGAAGTCAGAATAATCTTCATCTTCAAATTATTTGTTTTCTTATATCATAATCAGAAACCAATTCCCAATGCTTGCAATAAACCATGAAAGCAAAAATATAAAACTATTAATCAACATAGGTAACAATTTCCTAATCTCAATTATAGCGACAATTCAATCTTAAAAGACCTAAAAGTTTATTTTTACAGCCTTTTAAAATGATGTTGGGATAGGTGGCACCTGAATCTTCTGACCCTTATCTCTCTCACACATGTACCATATTTTTCTGACTATACAAAGAGGCTGAAAATCTAGGTGCGTCTTATACACCAAATACAGCATTTTTTGCCTCCCGAAGCCCCCCTTCTTCACCAAAATGGCCGTCCACACCCTTATGGAGGCTTTCAGAGAGCTCCTGGAGGCTGGGGAGGGCAGAAATGAGCAAAGAACAGCCTTCCCCCCCCAGTCCCCAACAGCACTCTATAAGCCTTCATAAGGCTATGCATGCAATTTTTTTTTATGAAAAATGGGCATGTTTTTGTGAAAAACAAGCCAGTTTTTGCTTGTTTTTGGCCCCCCACCCCCTAGGAGCACACTTGCAAGTGCCCCCCAAGGCTATTCATGCCTTTAAAAAAAATGTGCAACCTTTGGGAGGTTTGCAGAGTGCAAAAACTTTTTTTTTTCCTTTTGGAAAGCTCTCTTTAACTGATTGATGAGAATTACATTGATCAAGTGCTGTGTCAGCAGAAACACCTACCTATCTACTGTATTTCTCCCTCTATCCCTCTATTTCTCTCTCTATATATCCCTCTACCTACCTATGCACTCTTTCTCCCTATCTATCTATTGTATTTCTCTATCTCTCATTTCTCTATCTCTCTATCCCTTTATCTACCTACCTAACTACTCACTCTCTCTCTCCCTATCTATCTACTGTATTTCTCTCTCTCTCTATTTCTCCCTCTCTATCCCTCTACCTACCTACACACACCCTCTCTCCCAATCTACCTATCTACCTACCTACCTACCTACTGTATTTCTCTATCTTTCTATCTCTATCTCTATTTCTCTCTCTCTATCCCGTTATCTACCTACCTACCTAACTATTCCCTCTCTCCCTACCTACCTACTGTATTTCTCTCTCTTTCTCTCCCTTTCTATCCCTCTATATATCTACCTACTTTTTTAAAATTTGCCTCTTCAAAACCTTGGTGTGTCTTATAATCCAGTGCTTCTTATACTCCAAAAAATACAGTAAGTGTGGAATCTTAAAGATCCATACTCAAAATAAACACACAGAATAGGCCAATTCTACATGCTGAAGGTTGTCTTGGAGAGGAGAATTATGCTGTTTATGCTCTTCCACTCACACTGACACAGGGATTGAATATCCAGCATATGATGGTGATTGGCTAGTGCCAACATAAATTAAAATTACACTGGACTTATGGAATAAACATTTGAAGCACCTTTTCATGTGTTATTAAAAAATCCATAGTTTTACTGCTATACTCTGGGAAGTTTGAGAAATTCAGAATCTGAAAATAGTTGGAAAGATCTTAAGACCATTGGAAACAAATTGTTATAATGAAATATTATAACAATTTCTTTTGACAGAAATTTGTAGTTTTTGGATAGCTCATAAGCAAGTTTTTTGGGGATCACTCTTATAAAAACTATTGTTGCTTATATATAATTATTTTAATCTAATCTAACATAGATTTTTTCAGCGATCAAAAATTAAATACTGTTTTAAGATTTCAAATGCTTGCAAGATATTCAAGTCCTCTTTTATACATTTTGTATCAAGTGATAGATAAACCAGTATCCATCAAATTCCTCAATTTAATTAAACGCTATTCAGCAGCAGTTCAGTCAGTTCTCTTTCTAGAGAATCAAACAATAAGAGTTCATAAACTGGAAGAAAATGACTTTTATCTC